TAGTGTTAGCACCTTTAGCATAAAAAAAAAAATACATAGATTTTTGCTAAGCATTTTCAATTTCCATCTAAATGATTAAAAATGAAGGCTAACACTACAAAGGAAAAATCTAATAAATTTTATTTGATTAATAAAAATTTAATTTTGATAATCACAAACGCGTAAGATTTAATTGTAGAGGACTTGATAGAATTTACTGCACTTGATGCTTAAAAACTTGTGTCAAAATATATGCTTTAAGAAAGTAAATTTTTTTTTTACAATACAGAAATCAATAGCAACAAAATGTATGAAGTAACTTGAGAAATTTTATAATCTATGATTTTAAAACTAATTATATACTTGTTTCTCGCCACAACTCTCTATTGTATTGAACAGGGACATTGCGCCGTTTTTCGAATTCAAATGCAGGATCTACAGTAAGTTCTTTGCCAGCAGCTTTTCTAAAGGCCTTTGTCCACTTCAGCTTTCTAGGATTCTTCTTTCTATTAAACATTTTTCGACATTTGGATCTGCAGAATCTGAATATCTGAAAAATTCAATTTTATTTTAGCATTGAATAAAATGTGTAGCATCAGTGAAATTAGTATCAAACTTAAAAATGTGTCATATCACAAAAAAAAAAAAAAACAGAAGAATATAAAATGACATTAACTTGCATGAAAACTTTTAAATTTTTTTGGACATCAACAAAACTATGATGGTATTAATTAAAAAAAAAAATGATACTGTTATTTCTTTTTTTACAAAAAAATTTAGGGCAATATAATTAGCTGCTAGGTACCTTTAATTCCTGGAGCAGTATTTAGTTACATAAAAGAAAAATTAAAATAACTTTAATTAATTTGTGATGTAAGATGTAGTTATTTTCAAGGTCCACAAAAATACAAAATTTCTACGAGAAAAGATAAACTTTTAGAAACCAGCATAATATGGAAAAGGAGTTAGACTTAACAAATTTAACAGAAATATGAATGCCAGCCATGATTTTTAGGCGACATGGCTGCCCAACGGTTTGTAGACTCTGGCTATTTTTCTAGTAATATACATAGTTAATGCACAGTAATTTTTTTTCTTTTTAAAACATGCTTTCTATTTTAATTCTAACCACCTCAAATGATCTAAATTTGCTGTAATTTTGTACTTTTATGAAGATTGAAGAACAGATCATGGAAGTCAAGTAATTGATACTGAAAAATCAGGAATTAGGGTGACTCACGATCAGTCTGTTTCTGGGGTAAATAATGATCACCTAAGTTTTATTTTAAAAAAATTATTTTTTTTAAAATTTAAGACATGGACAAGAATGCTTGTACACTTTACTCAAGTATAACTACATTCACTTAATAATAATTTTTTGTTTACTCTAACAAAATAAGTATCTTTTAAACTGCTTTCTGTATTTTCCATTTCAAAGATGGGTTTCAAAATGTGCACATTTCTGCAAAGATCCCCCTCCTTCTCTTAATAATATTTTGAGTCACTTTCTTTTTCTTTGATAGCGTAAGCTTTTGTTCAATTGTTTCACATGTGCATTGTTAATTACTATTATATAATTACTATGTTTAAACAACCCCTTTATAATAAAAACTGGTGATCAGTAATTACCTCAGAAGTGATCAGGAATTACCCCAGAAATGATCAAGACCAGGGGTAATTCCTGATCACTAAAAATTTAAAATCTTTAAAATTCTAATTAGCTTTTCAAACAAAAGAAGGTGGCATTGGACTCATCTCATATAGCCTCTCAAACTTCCTGTAAATATTAACATTCTATTTCGAAAAGTTTTTTCACAAAATAGATGGTTGCGTTTTTTGATCAGGAATTACTCCAGGTCACCCAATATTTTAGACTACGTAAAATGATGAAAAAGAGCAAAAAAATCAATAAATCAGTCTTGAAATTGTAGATAACTTTCAAAAAGAAGAAAAGACTTCATTTTACCTATAATATTATAGAGACAAAAATACAGTACAATAACTTCCACTGGCAAAAACACTGCATTAATAAAATTTAGATATGCCCAGTAATATTAAAGAAAGTGGATTAAAATACTTATAGTGGATTAGATACTATTAGAACTGGTAAAAATTAAAAATAGTCTACTCTACAATAATGTAAAATTATGGGTAGATATAAACACAATATTACTTAAATTTTAGTAGTTCTAAGAGATACATAATAAGTTTCCCTTCTAATATTAGAAGAATAACGGCAAGAATAATATTTCACAACTATAAAAAATGGTGGTTCTTATTATAATGATTTAACAGCAGCAAAAACTTTTTAAGTAATACCTCGGTAAAATAGAATCAAAACATTGAATTTTCTTTACCACAACGTAAAGTAATCAATCAAATAATTAAAAATTAATTAATTCTTAACAAAGAGATTTCGTCATGTAAGATTTAGTATTGAAATAAATGCAACCTATTAACTAAGCAAGATGGACTAATACATTTTGAAAATGTAACAAATTGGTAATGAAAATACTGACATTTATCTTTTTTAATATATATTGATAAATTAATTATTTAAGAAAGGAACAGAAAAAATTACTTTGCAGTCATTTCGAATAAATTGAATGCCGTGGCCTGGATAAACAGGTGAAGAACAAAAATAACAGTGTTCAACTCTCATACTTTATAAAAATTAAGCTGTAATTAAAGTCAAACTTTAAAAGTTATTAGAAATTTATTTATTTTACGCATGCATCAACACACGACCGAAAACCAAAACACGTCAAAGTAGAAGTTGAAGTTATCTGATTTTGGCCAAGGAACAACTTCACACATGTGGCCAGTCTCAGAATTTATTTTCATTGAATTATAGAAAAATGAAGGGACCATTTTCACTGCTTGTAATATTTCTAGCGCTATTAAGAACCTGATTAGCTAGTTTTTTTTACATGAAAAATATTTCACTAATCAGGCTCGCATTCACATAAGATCGCATGTGCAACTTGCATACAGTGAGAACAGTTCTATAATTTCTAAGGATTGCACGTACTTGAAAAGGATGGTGTTTTCGACTCTAGTAGGACGTGCTGCAGACTCTTTACTGCTTATTGGCGATTGCAACACTCGAATACGCCATCTGTTGAGAGACCGGTTTCATGCCTTTAGCCCTTCTCCCTTCCCTCTTCTCAGTTGTATAGGAATGTACTACGATATTTTCCCCTTTCTTAACAATTTTCCTTTTCATTTAGCAAAAATATTTCTTAAAAGGAAAATTATTAAGAAAATTCTTAAAAATTTTCCTTTTAAATAGCAAAAATTTCGGTGATACTTTTCTTTAGAACTATGTTTAATGTAGTTTTCAGTTCCGTATAGTTTTCCAACTTAAAAGACTATAATTTGTATGAAAATCAAGAGAGAAACTAACGTACTTCCTTCCTCTATGACTTTCCACACGCTAATGGGGAAAGCATGTGAAGTGTTGCCATAGGTAGAGAGTTCTGCTCCACGCCACCTGCAGCCCATTTCGATCACCAATGGAAAGTTGATTGAATGTAAATAATAACAAACTTTTTAAAACCAGAAAAAATTTAGAAAATTTCCGGTGAATTCCTCCCCTTATGTTATGGCGACGCGTGAACAGGCTTCATATGGATGGTGTTTTCAATATAAATGTAAACAATAACAATCTCGAGCTCCATACCTACTCTAGTTCCGGTTAGAAAGCTTGCAACTGCTTACTACAGCATATTCTGCGAGGCGATATTTTCAAACGGATAATTTTGTTTTCAATAAAAGAAGTAAATTAGATAATTTTTGAGCCTAAAATCTGTCGTATTTCATAAGAATAATGTTATTAAGTAATTCTAGTGAGTGAAAATTTGTTTTAGTTATTTATAGATACATTGTTAAGAAAATTGACATGGTTGCTAGATTTTGAATAACTCTCTTTTTTGGCAGTCCTGATTTGGTTTCTTTCGATTTGTTTATTACTGTTTGTTCTTGTTGCAAGCTGTGCACCATCTTACGTTAGTGTTAGCACCTTTAGCATTACCAAATGGCAGGCACTGAACTTTATTCGTTTCGCCTTAGAAGATGTCAGAGGAGTTACTCATTTCGCGTTATCCAGTGGGCACATGTGAACCATAGTCACGGAGGAGAATAACATTGCTCACGCCAACAACACAAGAGGACAACACAAGAGAGAAGCATCCAGCGGGATTCAAACCCGCGGTCATTGGCTTTGCAGTCAGGCGTGCTAACCGCTCGGCCACCTGGCCGGCGAAAAACTTAAAGTAAAAGAGTAAAAAGCAAAATAAAAAGTTAAGAAAAGTAAAGAGTAAATTATAGTAAAAAATACAGTGTAATGGAAAACACAAAGATGTATAGAATAAAATCTAAAGTAAAGTAAAGTAAAGCTAAAAGTAAAGTGTAAAAAGTAAAGTATAGTAGAAAGTAAAGTATAGTAAAAAGTAAAATGCAAAATGAATAAAAAAAATTTTTAAAATGCAAAATAGCAGCAAAAGATCTTTGGATTTTCTTGATCATATTATGCAATTTTTTACATACCACGAGAAGGCATAAAGCAGTAAGACGACAATCATGTTGTTAGGATATAATGGCCGAATACACGTTCTTCGGATACGGAAAAAAACAAGAATCAATAAATCAATTCTGAACAACACTGCAAAATCATGCACAATACTGAATGTCAAATACTGACACAAATAATAATGCTAAAATAGTCTTTATTTATTTTAATAATTATTATATGCTGCTCTTCCTGCTTTACCTTATTAGATTAGAAAAAAAACACGCATTTAGTAGTCCATCCCATGAAAATAAAAATTAATTCTTAAAAATTTTTTAAATAGCTTTTATATTAAATAGCTTTTTAAATTTTTTTTAAGAATTAATTTTAATTTTCATGGGATGAACTACTAAATGTGTGTTTTTTTCTAATCTAATAAAGTAAAGCAAGAGGAGCAACAAATAATTAATAAAATAAAATATTAAAATTATTTTAGCATTATTATTTGTGTTAGTTTTTGATATTCAGTTTTGTGCATGATATTGCAGTGTTGTTCAGAACAAAGTTATTGATTCTCCCCCCGCCCCCATGCGAAGAAAAGGCATTCAGTTATATCCTAACAACATGATTGTCGTCTTACTGTTTTATGCTTTCTCATGGGATATAAATATTATATAATATGATCAAGAAAAACCACATATCTTTTGCTGTCATCAGCATAAAATTTATAAGATGTAATCGTATTTATCAATAAATGATTTATTTACCCCTTAGGAAATGGTGTTTACTATTAATATTTGTTCATTTAGTTTTCTTAATTTTATTCTATGTTATTGTTACGCTTTGATTTGGATTATTATTGCAAGATATTTCATAATAAAATGTTAATTTATTATGAAACATTTTTGGATAAAAATTCTTAAATACGGAACTACAGTTAATCCTCAGTAAGCAAGTTATACTTGATTTTTATTAAGTTATATTTATTTTTATACTAAATTTAACGTTAACTTTGTTCAGTTACTGTATACAATTGAAATTATTAATATAAATTAATTGTTTGCAACTATTACAGTATTATTAAATTATATAAATTATTAATTTTATTTAAATTTTATTTTATTGTAATCGGAAACTAAAGCTGTGTTATTACAATGAAACATTTTTAGACATTTTCTTCGGAAAAATTAACACCCAATATATTTTTTTAACAAAAAGCTTTGTTATGTTATTATAAATTATATCTAAAAACTCCCCTACTCTCCTTCGTACGCTTCAATCTTTTTTGAGGGAACTGGAGGTGACTTTAGGGGGAGGGGGTTTGAATTACTTTAAGACAGACAAGTGTGACATATTTTCCAAATCATTCTTTCGCATTGATGTATTTATTAGACGATCAGAATCGATTGTGGCTATCGTACTAACAGTTTAGAAGGCGTCAAATGTACAAAAGTACAAATTTGTACTTGTACCTATTTACGCTGATATTGCTATCGGAGCAAGTTAGACATGTTTCTATGTATTTTTTTACGCTGGACCAAATGGAACTATGTTTAAGTCAAGAGAACAAATAGGTCGAAAGTTGCTTGAGTTTTTATATATAAAAAGTACGTCGGCCAGGTGGCCGAGCGGTTAGCGCGCCTGACTACAAAGCCATTGGCTGCGGGTTCGAGTCGCGCTCTGGACATGGATGTTTCTCTCTCTCTCTCTTTCTGCTGTCCTCTGTTGTATGTGTGTGAGATGTGTGAATGTGGCCCACCCTATAAACGGGTATTTGGCAGTGTCGCGTGGGCAACGTTGCTCGCCTCCGTGACTTTGGTTCACAGGTGCCCACTGGGTAACGCTAAATGAGTAACAATTCCGACATCTTCATAGGCAAAGATTCATATACAGTGCCTGCCATTGGAAAAAAAACTATAAAAAGTACTACTTTTGACACATACTTATATTCACACTTTTCATTGCAATTCAAGAACTATTTAAACATGTAAGGTATATTTTCCAAAATCTTTTTTCACACTGAATTAATTTAAAACATTCCTAAGATGGTCGAATTAATAGTTTAGAAGTTAAGCGTTTTATGTACAAAAAATACAGTTTTGTACTTGCAGCTACTTACGCATCTTACATTGCTATACAGACAACTGAGGTATTGTTTCCTGTGTATATTTTTCATTAATAAAATGAGATCAAGTACGAATCAAAAGAGTTAATATTCGTAAGTTATTTTTTATTTTTGTATGAAAAGTACTCTTGCCGAATTGCAATTAATTCGAAGAAAACACTTATAACTTTTGAATTATTAGCCCAATCGTGTCTGGATTTATTTAATTTAATTCAAAATAAAAATTGGCTTCGGAAAATGTCCCTTACATATTCGGATAGTTCTTGGATAGCAATATAAAGTATATACCAAAGTACGTTTAAAAATGGCACTTTTTAAACATAAATACTCTTGTAACCTTCAATTTATTTGTTCCATAAATTTGAGTGCAGTCTCATTCGATGTGTTGTAAAAAATACATTGAAACAATATTTCACTTGTTTAGGTAGTAATATCAGATATGTAAATAGGTATAAGTACAAATTTGTACTTTTTGTACACTGTTTATAACTTCTACATTTTTAGTCAAATCGTGTCGAAGTCGGTTTAATTCAATTAAGCGGGAAAAAAACGTTGGAAAATATATCTCACTTGCCTGTTTAGAAGAAATTCTTTCCTCCTTGTATAATCCCCCCCCCCCCCTTATATTCCTCAAAAAAAGAGGAAACGTACAGATGAGATTATGGGAGTTTTGAGATATCATTTATAATAACATAGCAAAGCTTTTCGTCAAAAATATCTTGGTAATTAATTTTTCTAAGGATACATAATTTTTTTCTATAGTTACCGGACTATATTTGGTATCTTTAAATGAATTAATTTAGAAATTTGATGTAGCAATTTAATCATAGTCAAAAAACAAAAATAATACTTGAGATGCATTCTTGCAGAGTCCCTCCGAAACGAGCAGGGCTCACTAGTTAAATACAAAATTGTACTATTTTACATTTTTCACAGTCTTTTTTTTTTTTTTTTTTTAATTGTTAAGCGTGTAATCAATTACCGATATTTTCGGTGAAACAGTTTGTGTGTTTCCAAAAAAAAAAATAGTTTTTGGAGTCATAATTTGATTAGTAACACTTTTCAGAGATACCTCTGATTCATCCACGACATCATTTACATATGACTTATAAGTTCAATGTGATTTAACTATGGGAATGGCCAGCTATAAAAATAATATTTATGAATTCGCTTCCCCCCTACCTAATGCATACAATTGTAGAAAAAGTTACATTATTTTTGAGTCACTTGGATGTTTGCGCAGCTGAAAGAAAGTTCCATTTTCTATGGGAAAGCTGAGATGCAAACAGTTTTCACAGACAGCATGGCGCTTGTGTGTTCTTCACCTTAAAGCACATCGGATTCTTAATCAGGTAGATTCTTTTTCTTAATAAAAGGTAAGCCATTCTTGAAGAGGAGTGAAACTTTTTTAAAAATGCATGTACTGCATTGAATTTTTTTGGGAATAATTTATTGAGTAATAATTATTCCCAAGTATATAGTAATAATTTATTGAGTATATTAAAAAAGGCTCACAAATATTCTTTAAAATATTCAAAAAAAATTTTGAAATTACAAGGAATGATATTTTTAATTTTTGATACAATTGAAAACATTATGTTTCAGTGTGAAATTTTTGTTGTTGTTTAATTTGTGTAAATATGTGAACACTTTAATTTGCTTTCAGCATTTCTTGCTAGTAGAGCTTAAAATTTTTTTAAAAATCTAAAATTAAAGCTGTATGCTTTTTTTTAATGATTTTTTTAGAAATCTAAAAATGTTACAAAATGTTAGAAATCTAAAAATGTTACATGAAACAAAATCTAAAAATGTTACATAAATTTACTGAAGACCAATTAAAGAAAACAAAACAAATAACTTCAAATATAATACAGTTATTTTTAATAGATCTTGAGATAGCTCTTTCTGAAATTAAATAAAAGAAATCACGCAGAAATTTTTATTTATTTATTTTTTGCATCATTTGAAGCACAATGTTTACATGCACATTTTTAACAATTAAAAAAAAACTTCGCGAGTTTATTGAACTCTCTTTAATAACTAATTATTGTTTATTCATTACATCAGTCGGGTAAGCTCAAGGATCAACGTTACGTCACCGAATTCGTATTTCTAAAATTATCTGATAACACTTGTATGTTTTGAGTATAGTCAAGCATTTGAAACGTGCTTCTATAAAAATAAATAATTTGAAATCAATCTATGCATAAAATAAAGAATTTGCGCGTGAGTGAATCCCGGATTAGCAGGTATACCGTAGGAACTTAAAATACGAATTTTAACGTCAAATTCAATAAGAACAATTGTAAATAAATTACAAAACCCAATTTTTGACTTTTTAACTATATTTTCAATTCAGAGCCATTAGAAACATTCTCATTGGTTCAGCGGAAGCTACTGTTTTAAATTAAACTATGGACGATGTAGTTTCGTAAAATATTTTAGAGATAACATCAGTGATGTTATAATGATTTGCTAGCTTATAGGTCTCTTTTATTAATTATGTTTTATTTGTTATGTTAGATTTTCTAAATGATCAACGGGATCGTGGTAGTATAGGCTGACTACATCACCAAATTAGTATTCCTAAAGTTTACTGAAAACCACGCTTCTATTTTGTTTATAGTTATACTTTTAAAACGTGCTACTATAAAACTAAATGACTTAAAACCAAGGGGCAATTGAAAAAAATGTTTTGTACTGAAAAGCAATATTAATTGAGAAATGTTAATAGTTTGTTAAAGAGAAATGTTAAGAAAACGACAATATTATAATTGAAATTAATGATAATTTATTTTGGTAATAGTTATTAATTAAAGTTAAAAAAAGTAAGCTATGCCATTAAAAGCAACATTAATGGAGAAATGTCACTAATTCGCTTAAGATAGCGTAAAAAATCGGCAAACTATAATCGGCGTCAATGCTGCTTAGTTAATTTTGAAATCAACGGTAATTGAAATAAAAAAAAATTTTTAAATTAAAAATCAAAATAGTTGGAGAAACTGTACTTATTCATTAAGAGAAACCGTAAAAAGGCGCCATATTATTATTGACACCAATGATGCTTAATTATGGTGCAGTTTTAGTAGGTACCAAGTACACTTCTAAGTAGGTACAAAGTATTTTATGAGTAAATTTAGCATCTATTAAAGTTACACCAACGCTGTGCATTTTTATGATAGATACTGCGGACATAAGCTTTTGACGGCTCCTCCAAGAATTAAGTACAGAAGTTAGTTGCTTGATTGTGAAATTTTTTATACAACATGAGTTGCCTCGAGCAAACATTGAACCATATGATACTGAATATAGTTAATCTTTATTTCGATTGGATGAACTACTAAATAAGAGTTTTACTTAATATAAGAGTATAAAGATGCAGGAAAGGGCAACAAATAATAATAAATAAATAAATATATTTATTTGATTTATTTACCATTGTCTTTTGAGTTGGTATTTGTCTTTCAGTTTAGTGCATTATTTTGTAGTGTTGCTCAGTATTTTCTCTTCATTCCATAAAAAGAATGGGCATTCAGCTGGTTAAAAATTTTAAAAGCAAAAAAGAGAAATTAGTAGAAAAAATTGCTTGATTCTGGTAAATTTTGACTATCACGAGACTGACGTGATCAGTAGCATCCTTTTCGGTTATACTGAATACAGTTTATCTTGATATATCTTGATATCTTGAATATAGTTAATCTTTATCTTGTTGAACTTCTAACATTAAATCACCAGAAAAGACAGCAAATAATAATAATAATAATAATGAAAAAAAATTAGAAATATTTTAGCTTTATTTATTATGTCGGTATATGAACTTCAACTTAGTGAATGATTTCGTAGTGTTGATGGCGATTTTCAAATCAATTATGTTTTATTCACCGCGTACAAATAGCAGGTATTTAGCTGGTCTATAACAAAAATATTAAATATTTTATTGTTTAAAAAGAAACAAGCAGTTCTTCACAGAATTTTTCATCTTTAAATTGTAAGAAAAAACTCTTACTTATTTATTCCATGCAGCATTGTTTGTGAAATGACATTGATATGAGGCAAAACATGTCGCAAATCATTCTCATTCTTCTTTGTTTTAGTTGCACAACTGCGGTCAGGAATTTAAGAATTGTTTGCCTGTTAAATCAGATGGATGGAGAAGGATTGAACATCTGATAAACAAGTCAATTTTTATACTGATAAACATTTGATTTTTTTTTACCATCAATTTTTTTTTAAATGTGTTTTTCTGGGAATGCGCCGTAAGTGTCAAGTTTCTAACAAATGGCTTTCAAGTGGTATTTAGAATTAATCAATGTCGAGACGATACTCAGAGAAATTGATTATAATGTCTTCAAATCAGTAAGTAGTAATTTAAAGTTAGTTTACACAAATAAAAAAAAAGTTTATTTAATAGCAATTTATCTACTATTCTGTCTTCGAAATTCGCTTGAGTTATTTTTTGAAAATCTTAACTTTGTGTGTATGTACAAATGCTACTCGAAAATGTTTTGAAATGTTTTTTTTAACTGTTAAATATTAATGGTGGTAGATGGAGTTTACATTTAGCATCGATTAGATCTAGATGGGCTTGACCTGGCCTAGACAGAGACGGCCTTGCCCGGTAACCGGATGTAGTGCTTGAGAAGAAGAGGATGGAGTTTGATTTAAAAACATTTTTGTGGTCAAAGCGATTGTGAAAAGATTTCGTGTTTTTTTGGGGGTGGGAGCATTGGTTCATATCAGCGATAGACTAAATTATTAACTCTAAATCGTATACTGTTTTCAGAGTTAGATCGATATTACAAGGTCTTCCGTGTTTATGACTGTGATGATACCATCAGAATATTCTCCATTTTCAACCTTTCGGCTACTGCCTTATATTTAAATTACATTTCAGTTTGTTCCAAAAGCCTAGCTATTAACTGAAGACTGTTAACCTGTGGGGAGGGGAAGAGAACAGTGGCCTTTGATCGAATATTAATTTGTTTCCAAACTAGAATGTATTCTTTTACTTCTCTTTTCATAAAGATTCTAAAAAATATACATAAGGAATACTGATTACGAAACACAAAGCACTCCATAAAAAATAAATAAAAAATTGAAATTGCTACAGAAACAGAATCTCAGTGGTACAGGAAAAAAAGTGCGGGATATTTGTTCACGAGGTTTTCGGCTCGAATCTTGGTACGAACTATAAAATTTTTGTGTGAGATTAAATACTTTTTACCTGATTATTTATTTATTCGTTTCTTTTATTTTTAAATTTTTTCTCAATATTGTTTCAATTTTTCAAATGACTTTTTAAAAAAATAATGTTCATAGAAAATTTTGAGAGTGTGTGTATGGAGAAAAATTCCCGATAAGGTGAATAATAAGTAATGTTGCACATTAATGCATACTTATGCTATATAAAGTCTACTTAAGCCGTGTCCTTATTTCTTCTTCTTTTTATTCTTTAAATGCACAATGAATGTTTTAAAAGAGAATAAGTAGGAACCATTTTGGTTTAGATTAAAAAAAATAATAAAAAAAAAAAATTAAAAATTTGTCTTTAGCAGTTTAAAATATTGAAATATTTTATAAAAACTGTTATCAATAATTTTTTTTGTTCCCCTCAGTGCCCTTTTCCCATCAGTATTTTAGTGAAAACTTCCATACCTTAAAATTTTTAGAGTAACTTGAAAAATCTTAATGAAAGCTTTTAGAACTAGCGCGCTGCTTGAATCCATACTCCTAACTTTTAACTGTATACAGTTAAAAGTTAGGAGTATGGATTCAAGCAGCGCGCTAGTTCTAAAAGCTTTCATTAAGATTTTTCAAGTTACTCTAAAAATTTTAAGGTATGGAAGTTTTCACTAAAATACTGATGGGAAAAGGGCACTGAGGGGAACAAAAAAAATTATTGATAACAGTTTTTATAAAATATTTCAATATTTTAAACTGCTAAAGACAAATTTTTAATTTTTTTATTTTATTTAGTCAGCTAATAATTAAGTGATGATTCTTGAAATTTGTTAAAGAACAAAAGAAATTGGTTTAAACCACTTTTGAAAATGATTGTAGCCCTTTTCAACTATATCACAGTTTAACATGAACTAACTTTTATTATTATAACTTCCTTGTAAGGATAAGTTAGTACATAGCTTCAACTTTGATAAGAAGCTAATTTTTCTTAACTCCTTGAGGAAAAGAAATTGCTTTACTATATTGAAACACAAAAGTACTTTTTTTTAAACTCTGTCTTATTGTAACTGTATTTATTTTTTAGAATTTGTAAGAAAATAAAATAAATAAAAATAAATGCATTTTTTAAACTTTGCAATAACATTAAGAAAATATTTTTTTCTTTAACTTTGTGAGATAAGAAAAGTACCTTTGTGAAAATGTCTAAGTACTTACGCATTTATTCCACAGCAATAATAACTTAATAGCAGTAATAATTCCATAGCAGCTTAATTTACAGAAATAGGTTTTATTTTACGTACTTCGCGATAAGCAAAACTTAATTGTCTTTTCGTGTTTTTTAAGGTGCATAAAAATGTGCGATTACTATCTCAGACCGGATTAAACTAGTCTTTATAAGTTTGCGCGTCATCCGGAGTCTTATCGTCTTTCTCAATCTTACTCTCACTGACTTATACTTATTTTAACACATGAACTGACTTCTGCAGATCTGACGACTTATCTTCGGTGATTAGTAAACACTACCGATAGGTATTAGTATACATTTTAGAATATTTATCTAAAATTAAATAGTAATAGCAAAATAAAAATTAAAAAAAAAAAAACTACGTTTTTCAAGATGACTATACTATGACAATAAATTCTGCTGCAGCGATTAGAAAATAATTGAATTTGTGATGTCATCCATCATTGAGCTCAAATTAAAATTTATGTGCTCTAGCTAGTCGGAAAGTAGTCGGAATTTCGATAAACGATACATTCCCTTTGGCGATAATATAACCTATTGCTTTTAGCTGTTGGGAAACCATTGAAGCTTATTATCAGACAGAGCTTCAGAAGAGATTTGAATGTTCTAGCTAGTCGGAAAGTGATTGTAATTTTGCTTTCTAGATTCTACCTTTAAATACACACGACAGCGAATTAATAAAGACGTAGCAAAAAATAAATTTATAAAGCAAACTAATATTTAAATTCAAACACCCATTATAAGGAATCTATTTAATATATATGGCTCAAAGTATAACGTGACGTTAGATTTTTCTTCTTCTGGCGAATCATTTATTACATTCTTTGCAAAATTTTTTGCTTAACTGTTTGAATCGTTTTTTAACCATTAAAAAGATTTCTAATAAAATATTTTTTCTCCTTTTGATATCATGACTTACCTACAGATTTTTTAAAAATTTTACCATCAATGTTGAACACCCGATTTACATACGATTTGCGCCAATTAATGCTGTACTCCAGAGACCTGAAACTTGAACCCAAGCACAGAAGACAAGGGAATTTGTGGGTCAGATACTGGAGCAAACTGGCCTTCCTGGTGAATTTTTTGATAAGACATACTCGCATTTATATTGCAATATATAGAGGAAAACACAAAAACCTCCAAGGTTAGCCCGCATGTAATGACTCAAACTCATGATTCTTCTTGGGATCTCTCACTTAAGCGCTGAGATCAGAGGGAGGTGGTAGAAATTAGCCTGCCATGGCTGAGATTCGAATCTGGGTCATCTTATTGGAAGTTGACCACGCTTTATCCCCTGAATCATCTCGGATCTAATGCAAGGTTTTGTTTCAAAAAAGGAAATTTTTTACGACCAAAAAACGATTTTAAATTTTCCCTAGGAAAAGGTGAGAAAGACACCCACTCAAGATTTAGTTAGATGATACATCGATATGTCGTGAAATATCAATTTTATATCGATATTGCGGTAGCAATATTTAGTAGAGTATTATCATGATATACCCTGAGTATACTATTTTATAACAAATATAGAATTTACGTAAATGGTCAACAAAGATAACATTGTGATCATTAATGATCTCTGTAATATTGCGATATTTATTTACGATGGTAAAATATCAATTATGATAACGACGTTAGTATTATCAGTAACGATAATTATCGAATGCCATTTTTATGGAATATTACTGATAACCATGATTATCGAATACGATATTATAGTGAGGGTTAAAGAATTTTATAGGGGCAATAAAAATATTGAGTATTGTTAAAATGTATGCAAAATAGTTAAATCGAGAAAATAGTGCTTTTTATCGTAAAATATCGGTATCTCCTGACGATATATCGTAATTATTAAAATTCCCATATTACCCAACACTATCGAGAACCATCACGATAAGACAAAACATTAACGTGCCCGATGAAAAAAAAAAACAAAAAAAAAACGAAGTAAAAAACGAAGAGTCGGAAAGTTGTTATAAATCAATCGTTACTCAAATTTAGACTTTTTTTTCCACAATTTTTTAGAGGTTCAGTTTAAAAAGTAAAGAAAGTGTAATAAGTTTTAGTTGTGGTTGAAAATTTACAAATCATTCTCCGTTTCGTCCAATCGTTGAGTCACAATTATAGAAAACAAAAATGGTAATTAGGTTGCGTCACGGAAGAAATGATTTCTTCTACGGAAACAAAGCACTATCTTTTCGCCTTGCTTTACTTTTTATCTGCTTTCTACTACCAAGAATACAAACTTGGCATAGAAAACCATCGAAGTGGAAACCAATACGTAAAACCTAGAAAGCGTGGATAGTTAGTAAGATTTGATACTCAAAACAATCTTAAAAAATCATGAGTCATGTAAAGCTTCAAGGTAGGGAACATTGTTGGTGCCTTATGTGTTTCGATAAAGGTTGCCCACCATGCAAAAATTATCAAGTAAGTAATTGTAGCTTATTTTTTATTTTAAGGTTTTATGTATAAATTAATGAAAATATTGATTTTATGATATCAAATTTATTTAAGAGACAAAATTAATTCTTATAATTATTAAAGGAATAAATTATTAAAGTTGAAAAAAACTTAAGGAAAATTTTTTTAGAATTTTAATGTTATGTTAACTTTGTCTAACTGCTTGAAAAATTGTTTGTTTTTGTTTCAAAAACAAGCAAATAAATGAAGGTTTAGTTATTTTTCGTGTTTATGACTACATTGTTTTTAAAATGCATTATTATTTGTTGCATTTGATTTTAACGGAACTTGTAGTATTTTGTTTGCACTACCAATATTATTTACTTTTAGGTATTTTTGTAAATATAAAGTTAAAGAAAGAAAAATGATTATTTTATAAGAAAATTCTATTCTTAAATTTACTATAATTATGTAAAACGAAAATTCTTATTAAGTATATAAATAAGTTCAAATATTTTAACTT